TGGATTTTGCTGGATGCATTTTATCAGCCAGGACATGAATTTGAAACTGTTTTATATATGTAACAGCAGGAGGTGGACCATCTAGCAAAAATAAAGAAAAAAAGAGGGTTGCTATTCTGTAGCTGGCTAGAAACCCTAAAGACTGTGCTGTTGCTATTGGGCTGATAATTCTTTGAAGACAAATTCTGTATTTTTGGTTGCCTTTGTTCCATCTTCTACTTGTATACTTGTAAATAAAGCCAGTACTGGCCTTAAAATGAGGCAAAATGAGGGAGCCAATAGAGGCAATAGGTTTGATATATTATTAAAAGGCAGGAAATTGTTCATTTGTTTAATCTTTACATGTTATTTTTACAGTGAAAATTTTAACTGAAAAAGGGCACCAGCGGTAGTGGGGCTGGAATGGGCAGAAGTCTGTTGGCACAACTGTCCTTATGCTGGTACAGTTGTCCTTGAGCTGGCTCATCTTGGAGATCAACTGGCAGAAGGATCTGTCACAACAACTCTAGCCACCTAGAGTGGTGGAAATGACTAGATAGGCGGGGTATAAATACAATAAATAAATAAAAAATGAAACAACTGTTGTGCTGGCTAAGATTAGCCAGAAGAAGTCCCAATGAAGGTTTGGAGAAGGGCTAGAATAGGGAAGGGGCTGAGATAAGCCATACCTTCCAACAGATATTGAGTTCATCATCTGTCCATTAGGAGACATTCATGGTAATTTCCTCTCAATCACACATCTTACTTTTGTGATGATGCAGGGTCTTGGAGGCAGAGTTTTAAAAAGACAAAACAAAAGTTGTACTCACAAATCCACAGCTAATTAGCTTTAAAGCCAATAATAGGAAATTCATTTTGGTTTGTAATGGACTTACCTTGGCATCTACAGCTACTATCTTGCCCCTCCCTCCCTGCTTATACCAGATGGTAATATCTTTGCCAATGGAGAAATACCTGCATTTCCATGGTTAGTAGTACCTTAAGATGTCATTGCAAGCAAGTATGATAGTATTTTGCGAATTAGGAGTCATGGAAAATGTTATACCCATGATTCCTGATATTCTTAGTTATGATATAGGAACCATGGAAGTGACCTTTCCCGTGTTTCTTGACATGTAAGACACTGGTGTGTGTATACATGGCAGTTGCTGGGCAATGGAACCTGAGAGTACCCTACTGTGGAACCTCTGTTTTGCAATGGACACCATGAAGTAAACTTTGCAGAAATAGAAGAGGGCAATGAGGAGCCATATGAGATATTACTATTATTTTTATATCTTTAGAAAGGATAATTCCCTTCCCCCTGCATGGGATAGCACTCAACTGCCTGAAGTAAAATAAACCAACCAGCCAACTAGAAACTTACCTTACTGAGAGGTTGACACCTCAGAAGTTCATATGGTTCTATAGCATATTTACTTAGTCCTTTTCAGTCTCTCGTGGGACGTGGTGGCGCTGTGGGCTAAACCGCAGAAGCCTGCGCTGCAGGGGCAGAAGACCAAGCAGTCGTAAGATCGAATCCACGTGACGGAGTGAGCGCCTGTCACTTGTCCCAGCTCCCGCCAACCTAGCGGTTCGAAAGCATGCAAATGCGAGCAGATTAATAGGGACCACCTCGGTGGGAAGGTAACAGCGTTCCGTGTCTAAGTCGTACTGGCCATGTGAACACGGAAGATTGTTTTCGGACAAAACGCTGGCTCTATGGCTTGGAAACGGGGATGAGCACCGCCCCCTAGAGTCGAACACGACTGGACAAAAATTGTCAAGGGGAACCTTTACCTTTACCTTTACCTTTACCTTTACCTTTACCTTTCAGTCTCTCATATTATTTTTAGTTTGAGATGACACTAACACCAGGCTGTTGTTCCTATTTTGTTCTGATTTGTTTAATCCTCACTATTTATTTTTTTAGCTTCCCTTTCCTTTATTTCCCCCCCCCTTCCGTTTGAGACTAAATAAATTACCTGTATAGCATGCTAAGCTCTCTCTGGCAGTGGGCCTGGGAAATCAAATCTGTTCGCTGTTGTAGGTCTCCCAGTTGGCAAGGCAGTTTTTTTCTTCTTGTGAAATCAGGTCACTTCCTTGGGAGACAAAGAAGAAGAAAACCATATCCCTGTAATTAACTGGGAATGGATTTAGATAATGTAGCTGGCATACGTTTATGCAAAGGGCTATCAAAGGAATATTTTTTCAAGTACCTTAATTCTCTCTCAGTTGCAACACATTTTTGTAATTTGACCCTTCCCTATAAAGAAAAAAAATAAATGGCCCTTCCTTTTCTGACTTCTCTGAAATGTATAGTCAATATATGTTCATGCAAAAATATTTGCATTAAGTACAGTATTTTGTGACTTGAAAAATATTGTTGGGGTTGTTGTCTGTTTTTCCACATATTTATTTTGTTTATGTAATGACTATTTAAGCTTCTGACTTGCTGAATATGGCACTGAGGCATGAAAATGTTGGCTTTTCATCATTTTCTTCTGGCTGTATCGAATATATTGTCCATAGACTATACTCATTGGTGTCTGTTATCAAACGGCCAGAAAAAGAGAACTTGAATTAGTACAACAGAATACGTTGTTGATGGAAATGTATCTGTGAAGCAAATTTTTATAATGAATGATGAAAAAGAAAGAAAGCAGTTAAGATCCAAGGGGTAATATTTTGTTGCCTAAATGTGGAGTGGAAAAGCTACTGTGTAGCATTAATTAGATTTCAATGCTATGGGAAAACATGTTTTGCAAGACAAATTTTTCGCAAGACAATATTAACCGCCGAACGAATTAAATTCATCTTGTGAGGCACCAGTGTATCTAGCTCCTTAGAAAAGATGATGCTAGTTGTGTGCCTAGATTATTCTCTAATTTTTCCAGTTATTTATTTTCCTATGAAAGAACCTTCCATTTATCTGCTCCATTTTCAGGGCCCTATCTGGTTACATTTTTGAACTGGCTTTTAATATTACAAGGTGCTGTATTTGTTTTCTTGCCCTTTGCCTTTGTGTTACACATCTCATTATCACTCCACGGCTTGCCTGGCTGCTTACAGGTCCTGAAGTTGCAGCATCTTCCCCTGAGCTTTGTCTGAAGTGCAGAGAGCTAGTCATAGAGGGCGGCCGGCTGCCCCAGAGAAGATTATACAAGTAAAGACATGCACTTCTTAGCCACCTCATAAGCAAGGCAACCACAAGAAACCTTAACCTTACCCTTGAGATACTCTGAGGAATGTATCCTTGCTTGAAATTCTTTTCAAAGGGAATTTGTTTCCCTTTGAAATTGACTAAGAATGGTTGAAATTATGGTGGGAGAAACATGTAGCACTTTATTTATTTATTTATTTAATTTATTTAACTTATATGCCGCCCACACTACCCGAAGGTCTCTGGGCGGCTTACAGCATTTAAAATACAATAAAAAGGCAAAATAAAAGGGCAAGATAATTAAAATGGAATTAAAATGTATATTCTATGAACCCAAGGTTACTGCACTGCATTGTAGTTTTTAGTGATGAGGTTCTGCCGTGATCAGTAGCTTACTTCTTCAGGTGCAAAACATGTGACTTTTTCAATTTTGCTAGTTTAAACAAAAAAAAAGGTCTTGTGACACCTTAAAAACACAATTTATGTGGTCAACACTTTGATCCCATGTGCCACAGTATTCACCATTGGGTAGGCTGCTGTACATAGTACATCTCAGTGGCTGTAGGGTAGCAATCAATGAAATCCAATGGTATTAAAATATGAAGGTACAATAGTGATCCCTATTGATTGATTGATTGATTGATTGATTGATTGATTTGATTTGATTTGATTTGATTTGATTTGATTTGATTTGATTTGATTTGATTTATACCCCGCCTATCTGGGCAACTCGTCCACTGTAGGCGGCTTACAATATATTACCTCTACAGTAGTCATATCTGTTGCTCTTTGAGGGGCCACAAGACATACTACAGTAGATTAAAATCTCCCATTGGTGCCAATTTTGTGTGTGTGTGTGTGTGAAACCTGTTAACAAATTATTTTTCTGTGCTGTATCTGAACTGGCATTTTCTAGAGGAAATAACAGTTTGTTAGCATCACATTTTTATATCTTCCTGAATTCTAAGAAAGGAAAAGTGACTGGAACTGAAATACTAGAGTCTTTTGTGCATTATTTTTTAAAAGAACAAATTTCCCCCCAGCTATGCTACTTTTGTTTTGAAGCAACTAATAGAGGATTCAGTTGAACAACCTGCAGAAACACTTAGAATTTGCTCAGTAGTCAATCGTGAATCGCAGGTGGCTTGAAATTTATTGACTTTTTAAAAATGCATCAGCTGTTCCAAGTTGTTACAAGACATATATGGTGGTGTTAATAAATATAGCTTCTGCATGTAGTTATTCTTCACTGTGCTTCTAAAATAGACATTGAGGATGTTACTTTTTAAAAGAGACACACAATGTAGTGTGTTTGAGAGCTACAAACATGGAGAGTGTACCATTTGTGTAAGAAATTCTTCAGAACATGGAGCATGATCCATCTAGCTCAGACAAGCCAGCCCATTCATTGGTTGCCAGCCTGTTGTTAGGAAAAATCCATAGCTTTGATATTAACATTTAAAGGAGGGTCAAGTCACTACATTTACCTAACTAGGTATTATTATTTCCAGAGATACTCATCACAGTATGCCTGCTAAATGAGACAAGATGAGTAGATCCAAAAGAGATAGCCTTTTCATCTTGGTGCCCCAGCTGTGTAATATCCCCTCCGAAGTGGCTACTAAATGAGACAAGATGAGTACTGTAGATCCAAAAGAGATAGCCTTTTCATCTTGGTGCCCCATCTGTGTAATATCCCCTCCGAAGTGGCTTGCCTGTGTTGTGATTTTCAGCACACAGCACCTCTAAACAGCATTGTGTGTCTCTGTATTTCCTCAGTAGGTTAGTTTGTCTCTGGACTTGACTTGGTCACCACTTTCGAGATTGTCATCTAGCTTTCTCTTGTTGTTCTCCTCAGCCTGTGACCTGATGACCCTGGGGATATTAGCCTTAGTGACCTCTACTGGTTGTGCCTCCGCCAATGCCCTGCAGTCCTTGACAGATGCCATGCACATCCCCCACCTGTTTGTGCAACGCAACACAGGCGGTTCCCCACGGACAGCTTGCCACCTAAACCCTAGCCTGGAGGAAGAAGAATATACTTTGGCAGCCAGGCCACCAGTTCGCCTCAACGATGTTATGCTAAAGCTAGTGACTGAGCTGCGATGGCAAAAATTTATAGTATTCTATGACAGCGATTACGGTAAGTGGAATGAATCATTACAGAAAAGTCCCCTGAGCCTTCCTTTCTTTGAATGTTCTGCATTCTTTGTTTCTGCTGAAGAAGGTAGACTAAAGACATGTTTTGGTATCTAACAATGGTGGGGTTTTTTTTTTTGAACCAGTGGGGAAAATGTTATGAATGGACAGACTTCTTTTGCTTCCTTTTGAGTGAAAGGTTTCTGTGAAAACTAATTTTCATCCAAACTGCAAGTTGCTTAGCAACACCTTATCAAGACAGCTGAAGTTTGATTCATCTCACAGTTTTTCAGTAAAATATTAATAAACTGTTGACATTGATTGCAGGGTTCATATATTCTAAGCAAGGCAGTATACAACAAAAGCAACCTAACTAGTTCTATGAGACGTGCTTCTTTTTAAAGTCGTGTCGCTTACTTTAAAAATTAATTTTCCATATTGCAACATGTGAAATTTATTTCTTTATACTTGTTTACCCTGTTTCTATTTTTCTGGCTCCAACCAATTTCTCACTTAACAGGAACAGCATTTCCCTTATGGTTAGTACAGGCCATACGAAGTTTTTTTTTTTTTTTCCTGGCCTGAGAATTGCTGACTGGCTTATATGAATTTACTGAGAAATCTGGAGAAACCCTAACCTCAAAATATATGGGTAAAACTGTACGTGACACACTTTGAACAATTACTGTTTGTCTTCAGTTTGGAAATCAGTAACAGAAACATATGTCAGTTGCATCAGAACCCTAATATGTGGTATGTGTTCAAGGGGCTTTAATCCTTTGTGTTCAGTTGTGATTCTGATCAGTTCCTGGGCTCCCCTGCCTACTTTTTGTTTTGGACAAAATACTATCATTGGCAACGTTGGGAGCATTTCCTTTAATATGACGCAAGTTGTGTGTGTGAGAGAGAGAGACTGAGAGAGAGAGATCAAGACTACAGTAGGAGGCAATGGATTAAAGCTCCCTAACTCTTATGGTAGGGTTCTTATCTAGATAGTTTCCTGCCACCACCCTCTGACCTAGGTGCTTTCTTCTGTCATGATTGATTGAATTCATGGGAAACTTAGGGAAGCTCTAGAAAAGGGAAAACAAGAAGTCTTGAGCAGAGGTCAAAGCCAGGCAAAGTCAGCTAGAGAGATTGTTCTGGAAGGTAGGTGGAGGAATAAGTGCGGGGGAAAAGAAATGCAGTCCTTGGGATCAGACACTATACAGTGGACCCTTGACTTACAGACGGCTTGACTTACAGACTTCTCTGGCCGCAAAATTTAGGTTTGACTTGCAGCCTGAGAATTGACTTACAGACCAGAAAAAAACCAAAATGGAACAAAAACGGCCTGGTACGGGATTAATTGGTTTTCAATGCACTGTAGGTCAATGGAGACTTCACCTACAGACTTTTTGACTTGAGAACCACCTTCCAATACGGATTAAGTTCTCAAGTCAAGACCCCACTGTAGCTGATTATAGAACTAGAAGTAAAAATGAAAAATTTAGAAGAAAAGCAATCAGAATTCCAGGGGGTTAAGTGAAGTGAGGGTTTTACTCTTCATTTATCTAGAGGTAAGTATTGGTTGCTGATCTTCTACATAAAGTATGTCTGCAATGGCAGGGATTTGCTTTAGAGTAATTATGGAAATAGTATCATATGCAAAGTGTCTCCTTTTGCAAAGGAATTTCACTTTGGCCAACCATAGCTAATCAGAATTGCAGATTAACATTGACTGATGGATTGATTGGCTGAAATCCCATTAGCTATTGCTGAAGATAAGTGGGTTGTGGGCAGAACACTCCGTGATTGCTCCAGTAATCTCTGTCTTGCAGTTAAGTAAACCAAAAATTGTCCCATTAGAAACAATGGGATTTGCATGTTCACAGGGAGGTAAGGGATGCCTTCTTCCACAACTGGTGTAAAAAGACAGTCATGTGAACAATCAGGTATTGTGAGATCTTGTGTGCAGAAAAAAACAAACATAAGCTTGACCTTTGATGCTTGCAAATTTGAGATGTAGCCCATGGGAAGGCTAGCTTGCATATTGCCTCTGCTAGGTTAAGCAACTGGTACAGGAAAAGATATCAGTACCACTGATGAGGTGATCATTCTAGTGTGAGAATAGAGAACTTTGATCATCCTATTGTTATGGACTACTATCCACAATCCTATAGCACTGAACATACTGGTTGGGGTGTATAGGAACTGAAAGCCAAAATATTTGGAGGACTAAATGTTCCCCAGTCCTGTTATCACCTTGACAAATAGCAAGACATCAGAATAAGGTTCTGGCACACTTTTTTATTGGCTTGCATATATATGTAGCAACAGTAGGACAAATCCAGTTGTTGTTTGAGATCCAGTTATACCAATAATCCATTTCTGCTCAAGTATAACAAACAAAGCTTCGGTTCAATTTTCACTTCTGTTGTGATGTAGTGCTCCTGGACCGCTACATTAAAGTAGCCTTGTTTGGCTTTAAATCTGCTTAGAAACTTTCCGGATTATGACAGGGAAGTTGTTTATTATTATTTTTTCTCCTACGCTATAACGAGGGACTGTTCAATGTGTAGATGCAGTGAGGATTTGGAGTGGGCAGAAATGTATTTTGTAGGTAGTAAACAGAGTGTACCGTGCCTAACCTTGCCAGCATTACTCTTTTGTTCTTCTGTTCATCAAAGCTTCTGTATAATTAAGCAAAGAGAAGCCTCTTTACTCCAAAATGGAACTATTCTTAGTAAATGTACAGGCAGCTTTAAATTGCTTGTTTGTGAATAAAGGTTTTTGTTGCGCAAACACTATAGCCCTGAATCAATTTAAAGCAAAAGGAAATGTGAAGGTCATTGTTTCAAATCAGACATTGGACACAATTTTGTAGAAGTTGGTTATTGCTAAGCCTCGCTGAAGTTACAGAATGGAATTCAGTCATGATTAAATCCCATTCTTTCCCCTTCAGTGCAGCCAGTTTGTTACTTAGAAGCAAATTCCACTAAATTCATCGGACTTCTTAGCAAGTAAAAGTAAAATTGCATGCCTTACTGATTCTTACCTTTGTGAGTTACGTTAAGTGTGCTGAATTTCCATTTTAAGCAGTCATTACTGGAGATATTTTTGGGATCCATTGACAAATACTCATGTAAAGCTATAGAACATTCCTTTGCTGTGTTCATTCCCATTAGTGCTGGCAAAGAAACTATTGTCACTAAGGTAGGAAATGGCTGTAAAGGCAGGGAGGGGAAAAAGTCACCAGGAAATTGAATTAATATAAAAATAGCAAATATTTGAGATTAGAGATGGGGGCATTTGTATTCATATACGAATATCCCTGCACAGGTGTGGCTGGCTCACGATTTTGCCGCTGCCGCTGGCTCCTCAAAGGCTTCCTATCCCGCTGTTCTCTGCAATGGATTAGCCACTCTCCAACCTAGCAGAGAGGCTTGTCATCCCACCTCCTGCTAGGACTGGGTAATTGATTGTGGACAACGATGCAATAGGAAGGTCCAACGAGCTCACATCAGTGGCAAAATCGTGAGTGGGCAATGGGCTGGACCCTCGTTATTTCCACCTGTGCGGGGATATTCATATTCATATACAAATACCCCATCTCTATTTGAGATACTCGAGGGTAGACATATATCAACTTTCTTTGCAAGCCTGCAAGCCACCTACCTGGTAGTAGGACACTTGGATTCAGTGTGATACACCTTTGAGGAGACATATATTGCAAACCTACAGATGGCACGAATGCTTTATGCTGTCTGTGCACCAAGCTTTATCTTTGCGTAGTTTGTCCAGATACCATTTTCTCTCCTAGTGGCAAATATTTTAAAACTTGCATGTGCGTTTGAGTACTCAGTGAACCATATGATCTCAAAGATCACCCAATTCTCTTTCTTTGTTTACCCTTGACTAAATATTTTCTGAGTGTCATATATGCTAAGCTTTCTTATTGACTGGTCAAGATCAGCTATAAATAAAGAAATAATTTGTACCCTTGATATTTATTTATTTATTTATTTATTCAATTTATATGCCGCCCACACTACCCAGAGGTCTGTGTTCATAAGAAAGGTTCTCTTACTTCAGAATATTTTTGAACATGGCTTGGATCATCTGGTATATGACAAGGATGGGCAAACTGTGGTCCTCCAAATGTTGGTAGATTGCAGCTCCCAGCAAGAAGTTTCTTAATGTATTTAAAAGAGTACACAAATCAAAATACAATTTAACTGTGTTCCCCACCTCTGGAGACGGAACCTCTTGCAATAATCTTCTTCTTCCTCCATCTACTCTTCTTTTATTGTTCCCTTCTCCAGAACTGCATTGATTCTTGATTTGGAGCTTTCCCCTTTCCTCTTGTTAGTACATATTCCAAGAATCTGCCCCATTGTATTTGATTTGTGTATTTTATGTTTATGTTTATGTTTTAGTTAATAATTTTTTTTTTGTAAAAAAAGAGTACACACTGAATCTTCATACATGTCTGTAGACGATGGTCCTGCCTTTATTGTTTGATGCTGTAGCTCAGGAAGTGTATGTAGGAACATGCAGTTAAACAGACAGGGTGTGCTACAGAGGTTTTCTATGCAGACATTGCCCTATGCTTTGTGTTCACTTTAAGAGCGGCTCATGATTCCCTGTTTTGCATTTGCAGGGGCAAGCGATCTGTCTGAACTACTAATATTGTATGTTTTCTGGAGCTGTCCAAACCTAAATGTCCACACTGCTTAGATATTAATTCCTTTTTACAATCTAAAAATTTATTTCATTGGACTGCCAGATATTTGCCATCCCATCAGAGCTCCATTTGCTTAGTTTCAGCAGTAGCATTGCAGTGGATGCTTCCAGATCATTTATCACTAGGCTTCATTCGAGTCTTGGATAGAACAGAATGAATTTTTCACTAATTTTTTTAAAATGCATTTTTAAGTGCTTGAGATGGGAAAATCTGCACAGATTAATCTGCTTCTTTCAGCTCCTCATTCTGTGTTGAGTTTGTTATGCTGTTACTTTTTT